ATACAGAGCGGAGGCATGGAGACCTCCAATCAGCAGCTTCCACGGTGCCATGTAGCTTGGCCTTCAGATAGACAAAACATGAAGTGGAAAAGTACAGGCTTCTGCACATTGATAGAATGATGAGTTTAACTTTAACAAAAGTTGCTTCAAAGTGTTATGAAATCTCACATTCCCCCCTCTGGTCACACATTCACGTGTGACCATCAGGATCGATAAACAGCAACATAACATCATAACTCAATACTTCAAAACTCATACTTCAGTCGGTACTTCAAAAAACTCAGAACTCGGAATACTTCAAAAACTCAGAAAACTCATAAAACATGTTCAGATCTTTCATAAAACTTGTCAACAATCTTCAGTAAAATACCAAACTTCATCAGTCGATGGTTCCAGATATTGCTTTGAAAACAGTCTCTCCCACTTCTGTTGATTTCTTCAGGCTGCATTTGTTGTGTCAAGCCATGAATTCTTCTGTGACGTGTCTTTCAATCACACGTTTCAGCTTTAGTGTCCAGATTCAGCAATTCAATTCAGTCCAAATTATGTCCAAATTCAGAAATCCAGATTGTTCCAAATTATGTCCTTGCAAAAGAGGACGCTGGTGTTGTCCATGTCTCAGCAGCTCACAGCCTGACTGGAATCAGCAGGGGCTGTGCAGATTGTCCATGTGCTGATCCAGATGCATGGTTTCTCTTGAGGTTTCTCAGTTTTGGCTTTAAAAAAAACACTTTTTGTGTAAAAAAAAAAGTAGTCTTCTGTTCTCTAGATGTTACAGACAATGCCCGCATCCTCCACCACCTGAAGAAGATGACATAGTCTGGGATCGCGTCTTACATTCAGACAGAAGACATGTTTTATTGTCAATGGTAGAGACAGCACGAACAAAGCACACGATCACAGAAACAACAGAATGCAAGTGTATTATACAGAGCGGAGGCATGGAGACCTCCAATCAGCAGCTTCCACGGTGCCATGTAGCTTGGCCTTCAGATAGACAAAACATGAAGTGGAAAAGTACAGGCTTCTGCACATTGATAGAATGATGAGTTTAACTTTAACAAAAGTTGCTTCAAAGTGTTATGAAATCTCACTTTCCCCCCTCTGGTCACACATTCACGTGTGACCATCAGGATCGATAAACAGCAACATAACATCATAACTCAATACTTCAAAACTCATACTTCAGTCGGTACTTCAAAAAACTCAGAACTCGGAATACTTCAAAAACTCAGAAAACTCATAAAACATGTTCAGATCTTTCATAAAACTTGTCAACAATCTTCAGTAAAATACCAAACTTCATCAGTCGATGGTTCCAGATATTGCTTTGAAAACAGTCTCTCCCACTTCTGTTGATTTCTTCAGGCTGCATTTGTTGTGTCAAGCCATGAATTCTTCTGTGACGTGTCTTTCAATCACACGTTTCAGCTTTAGTGTCCAGTTCAGCAATTCAATTCAGTCCAAATTATGTCCAAATTCAGAAATCCAGATTGTTCCAAATTATGTCCTTGCAAAAGAGGACGCTGGTGTTGTCCATGTCTCAGCAGCTCACAGCCTGACTGGAATCAGCAGGGGCTGTGCAGATTGTCCATGTGCTGATCCAGATGCATGGTTTCTCTTGAGGTTTCTCAGTTTTGGCTTTAAAAAAAACACTTTTTGTGTAAAAAAAAAAGTAGTCTTCTGTTCTCTAGATGTTACAGACAATGCCCGCATCCTCCACCACCTGAAGAAGATGACATAGTCTGGGATCGCGTCTTACATTCAGACAGAAGACATGTTTTATTGTCAATGGTAGAGACAGCACGAACAAAGCACACGATCACAGAAACAACAGAATGCAAGTGTATTATACAGAGCGGAGGCATGGAGACCTCCAATCAGCAGCTTCCACGGTGCCATGTAGCTTGGCCTTCAGATAGACAAAACATGAAGTGGAAAAGTACAGGCTTCTGCACATTGATAGAATGATGAGTTTAACTTTAACAAAAGTTGCTTCAAAGTGTTATGAAATCTCACAATACCATGGTGCGTTCATGTTTCCCCTGCCACAGTACATCACTGTGACACACTCAACGTTGATCAACTGCTATAGTCACAAATGAGCCTTAAGGATCCTCAGTATTTCCTCAGGACACATAACTCACTGTCAACATGCAACAGAATGTTATACCTGTAAAAACACACACAATCATAATTAAAAATAAAGAAGTTCTGTATTTGATACAAACCAACAAACAATTTTGGGGATAGCGTATTACAAAAGTTACAAGTTACCAAAATATTGAATTGTTTTTAGGTAACTAAGGAACATAACATATTACTTAATACAAAATACATGGATATATTTGTCATTAAGTTACTTGAGTAAAAAAGCGCATTTACGTAAATGGTTTGTATAATAAAGTTCTACACTGGTGATTAATATAGCTAATGTCATCAAAACAAAACATGGATGTTTGAGAATGTGAAAATCAAAGGAAAGGAACATTTTTGACTGCACTTTTGCTTGGTGGCATTGATAATATTTTTGGGTTCTAGTGTCTGTGTACGTTGCTATATGCATGGGGGCGTGGATCCTGTAAAGCGCTTAGAGTGCCTATTAGTATAAATGCGCTATATAAGTTGATACCATTTACCATTCTATTTTCCCAAAAGTCACTCAAGGTAGTGTAACTCAGCAACTTTTTTGTAAACATAAATATGTAATACAAACATATATATATATATATATATATAAAAAGGAAAATACTAATATATAAATAATAATACATTTTAAGTAACTTGCCCATCACTGACAACAAAACAATTAACAAAAGGCACAAAGACCAATGACCAGGTCGGGACACACTGCGCACGTCTTTTTATTTTTATTGTAAATAACAAACTTAGCTTAATTATATTTTTCACTATATTTATCTAGTCTGGCCTTAGCCTTCCGTAAACTCCAGTCAATTATATTTTCCCTGCATGTACGAAACAAGTACGAGGGTATGGAAAAACCAGGCTAATATTTTTCCCTTCTTTGGGCAAAATCTAAAACATGTAATTATTATTAGATTTTTTCTACATATCTTTAAATCATCCCTGTTAAATTTGTATAGAAGCAGTAGTATTTCTGGCTTGTATGGATGGTGGACTAGTACTTTCAATTTGCTTTTATGAACTTGTGTTTATTTTGCACTGACCTGTCTAACGAACACTACAAGTATTTCTTATAAATGGCTACAAATTAAAGTTTTAACAACCACATTATTTAAAAATACAGCCAGCGAAGCCCATAGCAGTGCTGTTCAATTTGTTGTGTAATGGAAAGTCAGTGTCACGGTTTCTTAGACTAGCTCACTTTACTTACTTTACAGTAGCCTACTTTTAAATTATTTTACACCAAATGCATCTCTACTACAGAACAGAGTGGTAGAAGATCCTCTTGAACCAATGAGGTGGAGACGCACTACAGCAGCTGCCGGGGATGACAGAACAGTCCCTTCTGAAACAATAATCCTCATCTCGTAGAACACATCTATTGTGCAAACACAGAAAATAAATCACATAAAATACATACTACCACAACACTACATTAGAATATCATGACAAAGTAATTTTCTTTCTGTTATTCAACTTACAATGTCAAAATGAATATATTACATACTCATTACATACAAAGTGACATAATGTCAATACCTTATTTGTCATCATTTGGATGATTATGGCTTACAGTCCATTATTTTTTTTTTTATAATTTTACGATATCTATAATTTGGGTATTTGAAAAGCTGAGCCATAATCATTTAAATTATAATAAATAAACGCTGTACATATCTCACTTTGCATGTAATGAGTATATCATATATTAGCTTCACAAAAACTGCAAAGGAGCTGTTATGCTTTACAAAGTGCATTGAATTGGTAATAATAAACACACAACATACTCACTCAACTTGCTTTAGATTGTACAGCTTTCCTCAACCACATGACCAGCTGCGAGTTTGTTGTTTACGTTGGAATGGCCGATGCTGCTAAAAGCTACGCGTTGTTGTTGGGAGGCGAGGGTTGAGCAAATTACTTTTTTATTTATTTACCTGTGTTCTTGGTCTGTGCCATCTTTGTAGATCACTCGTACATGCCAGGGCAGGAGGAACAGCTGGTAGCTGGAGCTGGGAGTAGTGTGCAGTCTGATAAAGAAGTGCAACTACATGGTTGCAAAAACCTTTACCTGCTGCACAACTACAAGAATGAGCCAACAGCTCAGCCTTTTCAGCACCCAGTGAGATCTAAAGCAGAGAAGTAGTTTTAGAACGGACATAGTTATTACTTGTTATAACTTATCTTATAAAGACAAGAGATTGTAGTTTAGATTTGCTGCAACAGCAGCAGTACATAGAAAAGCCTATGCTGCAACAGCAGCAGAAGATAAATAGTAAGCACCAAACAGAAAGATGCGAGTATAGGCTCTCAGTTTTACTGGAACTGTCCATCCTATGTGAACGTTCTTCAGCTGTCATCTATCAGCGACTCAAGAACTCAAAGCTGAACAAGCCAACCGGCTTTCTGACTTTCAAACCTGCAGTCTGTGCGGCTCCTCATTTCTCCTCATGGACCTGAAGCATTTAGCTCTGACCACTACCTTTCCCTCGAGAATATTTGATACTATACGTATGCAGAAACAAAGCACAATTTAATGGTTAAGGTACATCTAGCATCATCATGTAAAAACTAACATTTAGCATGTTTGCTTTTATAAATAAGACATGAAAAACACATATCATAATGTTCTAATATAATTGGAAATTCTATACCATGTCTCCATTCAAATTTCGAATAATTTAGCACACAAATTAGCACATATTTATGTGCTTCAAGTGTCGTAGCTAGCGTAGCTGTAAGTTGATAAGTCTTACCTTGATAGTCGTGTAAATATTCTTCATGAAAGAATTTATACCCCTTATCCCGTTTATCTGTTTTTGAATTCGCTGCTGCAATTGCTTCCGCAGCAGCGAATGAAAAAGCTGGCAAACAGAGTAGTGTTGGTGAAAATATTAGAGCCATTTTCTCTCTATCATAGACTGTGCAAACCGGAAGTGACTCAGCGCTGCGAGGCGGCGGCTCCCTCCACACCCCACGTCCCCTCCCCCGCCCCCGCCCCTCGCCCCCAACCGCACTCCCCCACCCCCCCCCCGCCCCCCGCCTGTCTACTAGCATCCGCCTCCCTTCTGCCCGCCTCCGGCCTCCCCCCCCGCTCCCCGCTCCTCCCCCCCGCCCCCTCCCGGCCACTCCCTCCTCCCCGACCCCCTCCCCCCTCCCCGGCCCGCACCCCCTCCTCCGACCCCCCCTCCGGACGCGGGCCCCCCACGCACACACACAACCACAACTACTGCCCTCCCCCACCCCCCCGCCTCTCCGCCACCCCGCCCCCAACCCCCCCTCCATTCCCCCTCCTCAGCCCCACCCCCCCTCCCCCCCCGTCCTCCCCCCAACGGCCCCCCCCGCCCTCGCTCCTCCATCTCTTCCCCCCGTCCCCGACCCAGCCGGACGACCCCACAGCGGGCCCACCCCCCCCCCGCCCCGATCCACGCAGCCCTCGCACAACACCGCCTCGACCCCCCCGACCCTCCCCCCCCTCTTCCCCGCTAACGACCGGCCCCGCCACCCGACCCTACACTCACCCTCGTTCACTTCCCCCATACGTTGGGCTGCTCCCACCGTCCCCCCCCGACTCCTACTCCACGTCCCCGCCCAACATTCCCCCCGCCACCGCAACTCCCACCCCCACTGCGAACACCACCCCGCTCCCAATCCAGCTCCTCCCTTTGGCGCCTCCCCTCCCCCCCACCCCTCAGCCCCCCCCCCCGCCGCCCCCACCGCCCCCCGCCCCCCCCCCACGCTCCTCACCCCCGCCCCGCCTTCACCGCCCCCCCTCGCTCCCTCCTCCCCCCACCCGCACCCCCGTCCGCACCCCCCCCCCGGCCCACCCCCCCCGCTCCCCCCCCGCTTACCCCCCCGCGCCCACACCTCCCCCCTCCCACTGCCCCCCGCCCGCCCGCCCCTCGCCCACCCCATCACCCGCCACCCGTGCGACCCCCCTCCCCCCCACTCTCCCTACGCATCCACCCCTCAGGCCTACTCGCTCGACGCACCACGTCGCGCCCCCCCTAACCCCCCCCGGCCCCCCATCCCCCCCCCCCACACCCCCCACCTCCCCGATCCCCGTACCCCCGCCCCCCACCCCTCACCTCGCCACCCCCACGCCCCCCCCCCCTCTGCCGCCCCCAACCCCCTCCCCCGCCGCCCCCGCCCTCCTCACGCCACCCCCTGCCCGCCCCCCCCCACCCCGCACCCCCGCCGCCCCCCGCCCTTACTCCCCCCCTCCCCCGCACCCCACCTCCCCCTTCCCCACGACCCTCCCCCCCCCTGCCACCACCACCACTCCAGCCACACCAACCTTCGGTGTAGCGACGCATTCCGCCCCCCCCCTTCCCTCCTCAGCGTCCCCCAGCCACCCCTCCCTCCCCCCGCCTCCCCCCCACCCTACGCCCCCTCCCCCCCCCGCACACCCCACGGCACCCTTCCCCCCTCCCCCCCCCACCCGCCCCCCCCCCCCCCCACCCGTTCCCCCTCACCCCACCCCTCACCCTCGCCTCCCACCCGCCCCCCCCTACCCCGCCGTCCCTCGGGCCCCCACCTCGCACCCGCCTCCCCCACCCCCCCCCCCAACCCTTTACTCCCCGCGCCCCTCCCCACCCCGGCCCCTCCCCCCACCCATCCAGCCCGCCCCTCCCTCCACGCCCCCCCCCCCAGCCCACCCACCCAACACCCCCGCGCACGGCCCCACCCCCCGTCACCCCACTTCCCCCTCCCCCCCAACCGCACCCACTCCCATCCCTCCCCCCCCCCGCCCCCTCCCCCCCCCCGCCGCCGCCCCCCCTCGCCCGCCCACCCCACCCCCCCCCCCCCTCCTTCCCCGCCCCGGCCTCCCCCTCAATTGAGCGCCCCCGCCACGCTGAGGACTACCGCGCCTGCCCATCAGCCTCCCCTGGCCCCACCACGCCCCCCCGGACCTCCCCCCCCCCAGGCGCCCGCCTGCCGCACCCCCCCCCATCCCGCCCCCCATCTCCGCACCCACCCCCTCCCCCCCCGACCTGCCCCCACCTCTCCCCACCCACCCTACAGCACACCCCACACCCCCCCCCACCCCACCCCCCACCTCCCCACCAACCACCACGCCGCCCCCACCCTTGCCGCCCTGCCCCGCCCCCCCTGCCACCTCCACCCCTCCGCCAGTCCCCCCCACTCCGCCCGCCCCCCCCCCCCCCCGTCCTCCCCCCCCCCCTCCCCTCCCTCGCCCCTCCACCCCGCCCCCAACCCCGTTGGGGCCCTCCCCCACCCCCCCCACACCCAGCACCCCAACCCCCCCCCCCACGCGCCGCCCGCCCTCCCCTCGCCGCCCGCTGCCGCCCCCCCCCACCCCCCCACGTTTACCCCCCCCCCCCCCCCGCGCGCTTGCCCCCCCCCCGCCCGCTCTTCCTCCCCCACCACGCGCCCCCACTCCCGCCCCCTCCCCCACCCCTACGCCACCCTACCCCCGCCCGCCCCATCCCCCACCCCCACTACTGCCCCCACCCCCACCCCCCCCCCCCCCCCTCCGCACCCCCACCCCCCTGCCCCGCCTCCCCTCCCCCGCCCCCCCCCCCTCCGCCGCTCCCCCCCCCTCCCCCCCCCCCACGCGTGTGCCCGTCATGCTCCCCCCCCCCCGCCGCGCCCCCCCCCCCCCCGCGCCCCCCCCCCCCACCCACCCCCCCCCTACCCCCGCCCTCCCTCCACGCACCCCCCCCCGCCGAAACCCCCGACTTCCCCTCCCTCCACGCCCCCCCCCACCACCCCCCCCCCCTCCCCCGCCTAACCCCCCTCTCCTCTCCGCCCCCCCCTCCCCCCACGACCCCCTTCTCCCGCTCCACGCCACTCTCACCCGACCTCCCGCCTACCGACCCGTACATCACCCCCCTCGCACGTCCGCTACCCCACCTCCCCCCCTCCCCCCCCCTTCCCCCCACCAACCCCCGGCCCGCACCCCCCCTCGTCGCCCCTCGCTGCCACCCCGCCCGCATCCCGCCGCGCGCCCCTCCGCGCCCCCTCCCCCGGTTCCCGCCCCCCCCCCACCCCCCCCCCCCCCCCCCCCTCCCCACCCCCTCCCCGGCCCCCCTCCGCACCCACGCCTTCCCCACTCATACCCTCCCCCCACCCTCCACACCTAGCCTCCCCCGCCCGCCGCCCCTCCCGCACCCCCCCACCCGTCCACCCCCCCGCCCCCCCCACCCCGCCCACCCGTCTCCCCCCGCCCCCGCGCTACGACCTTCTGTTGCCCCCACCCGCGCCGCCCCACCACCACCCTCCCGACCCTGCCCCGTCTTCTCCACTCCGCACCCCTCCGCCTCCCCCACCCCCCCGCCCCCCCCCGCCCACCCCCCCCCCTCCTCCCCCCCTTTCCCCCCCACCGCCCCCCCCCAGCCCCCCCCTTCCCCCCCCCCCCCCGCCCGCCCCCCCCTCCTCGCCCCCGCACGAGGCCCGCCCGACCCGCCCCCCCCCCCCCCCCCTCCCCTCCCCCCCCCCCCCCTCGGCCAACCCCCTCCCCCCACCCCCGTCCGTCCTCCCCCCCATGCGCCTCCACGACCCCCGCGCCGCCACTCCCACCCCGCTCCCCCCCCCCACCACGACCCACAACCACCCCGCCCCCTCCTACCCGTCTCCCCCCCCCCCCGAAAAACCCCCCCAGCTTCTCCCCCCGCCACCCGCCCCCTTCCCCCCTCCTCCCCCCTCACCACCGTCCTCGCCCCCCCTCCCCCGACCCCCTGCCGCCCCCACCCCCCCTCTCCCCTCACCCGCGCAGCCCCCCCCCTCCACCGCCTCCGCCCACCCCCCCCTTCCCCCCCCCTCCTCCCCTTCACGCCCTGCCCCCATGTGCCGCCCCACCCCGCCTCTCTTCCTCCCGAGACGCCCCTCCGCCCCCCACCCCCCCCCCCCACCACCCCACCCCCCTCCCCCCACCCCCCCCACATTCCCCCCCCCTAACCCCCTCCCCCGCTTACCCCCACAGGCCCCAACCCATCCCGCGTCCCATCTCCCCGCCCCCCCCAACCCCCCCCCCCATCACGACATCCCCGCCACACCACTCTCTCCCACGCCCCCTACCCCATCTGCCCCCCTCGCCCACCTCCCCCACCCCCCCCAACCCGTCCCGCCCCACCCCCCCCCCTACGCCCCGCCCCACATCCCCCGCCTAGCCCCCCCCTGGCGCCCCCTAGCTTGCTCCCCCCCCCACCCCCCGGCCGCCGCTCACCCCGCCCCCCCCTCCTCCATACCCCACACACCTACCACCCATCGCCCACCCTACCCCCCCGCCCCGCCTACCGGCCCCCCCCTCACCCGCCGCCGCGCCCTCTACCCCCATTCCGACCCTCACCCTCCCCCCACCCCCCATCCTCCCTCTGCCCGCCCCCCGCCCCCCCCCCCCCCCTTCCCCCACCCCCCCCCGCCCCCCCTCCTCCCCCCCCACCCCCCGCCCCCCTCCCCACCCCCCCCGCCTCCCCCCCCCTCCTGGCACCCCTCCCCATCCCCACCCCCCCCCTCCCCCCCCAGCCCCCAGCCCCCCCCCCCCCCGCCCCCCCCCCCACCCCCCCCCTCCGCCCCGCACCCCCCCCCCCCTGCCCCCCTCCCCCCCCCACCATCTCCCACCCCCCCCTCCCCCCCCCCCCCACCGTCCTCCACTCACGCCCTCCCCCCCGCCACCCCCCCCCCCCTCTCTGACCTCCCCCCCAACACCCCATCACCCCCCCCCCCCCCCCGCTCCCCACCTCCCCCCCCCAGCCCCGACCCCCCGCCCCCACCCCTAACCCGCCCAACCACACACCTACCCCGCCCCCCAATCCCCCCACACCCCGTCTCCCCCCCCCCCCCCCCCTCCCCTCTCTCCTTCCCCCCGTCCCTCCCTCCCCCCCACGCCCCGACCGCCCCCCCCCTGCCCCCCACTCCCAGCCCCCCCCCTCACCCCCCGCCTCCCCCTCCCTTCCGACTCCCCCGCCCCCCCCCGGCCCCCCCTGCAGCCGCCCCTCCCCCCCCCCCCCCCCCCCCCCCTACTTCCCTCACCCCCCCCACTAGCCCCCACCCCCCCCCGCCCCCCCCCCCCCCCCTCTCCACCCGCCCAACCCCCTCCCCCCCCAGCGCTCCCCCCTCGCCCCCCCCCCCCCACCCCAGCCCGAACCCAACCCCCCCCCCCCCCACACCCCCATCCCCCGCTGCCCACCCACACCCTCCCTCGCTCGCCCCGGTGTTCCCCCCCCCTCACTTCTTCTGCAGACCCCCCCTAAGCCCGCCCACGCCCCCCCTCCCCAACCCCACCCCTGTTACCCCTCGACGCCTCTCGTCCCCCCCCCCCCCCTAAACACCACGACTTCTGCCTCCATACAGCAGTCTCAAGTTGCCCGGAACCCCCACTCCTGCAACCCCCAGACTGACGAGGGCCGTCCGCTCACCTCACCCTCCACCCCCGCTCAACCCCTCCACTCTCGTGAACATGCACCTCTGACTCCTGCCGCCGGCAAGTTGCTTGGCCCGCCCGGAACTATCTATCCACTCCGCGGTTATCCGCTCGAGGTTCCCCCGTACCCAATTGCGCTACGAGACCGCATCCCCCCTCGCTAACCGCCCCCCGCCGGCCCCTGGTCATAATAAAACCCCCCTCCCCCCCCCCCCCCCCCCACACGCGCCCCCATCCCCCCCCACCCCGCCCTCACCCCCCCCCCCGACCCCCCATCCCCCCCTCATCCGCCCACCTGCGTCACCCACCCGCCCCTCCCCCCGACGCCCCCCCCACATCCCACCCCCCGCCTCCTCACCCCCCCCCCCTGCCCCCCCACTCCCCCCCCCCCCACCCCCCCATCCCCCCCCCCCCTCCCCCCCCCCCCCCCCCCCCTCCCCGCCTCCTCCCCCCCTCGCCAGTCCGCCACCGCCCCCCCCCCCCCGCCCCCACCACACCCGACTCCCCGCCCCCCTCCCACAACCAACCCCCCCCCCTGCCCCTCAATCCCCCCCCACTCCCCCACCCACCCCCCCTCCCCCCTACACTCACACGCCACAGCCCCATCACCCGTCCCCCTCCCCCTTGCGGTCCCCACCCCCCCACCCCGCCCCCCACCTCCCCCGCTCGCCCCCCCCCCCCCCACGCGCCCAGTCGCCCACCCCCACACCCACCCCCCCGCACCCCCCCCTCACACCCCCCGCCACCCCCCGTCATTCCCACCTCTCCGCCACCCACCCCCCCCCCCCCCCCGCCTTGCCCCCCCCCCCCAACCCCCCCCCTGTCCCCCCCCCCTCCCGTCGTTCGCTTCCCAACCCCCACCCCCCCGCCGCCCCCCCCCCACCCCTCACCGGACCCCCCCTCCTGCTGCCCGCCCACCTCCCTCCCTCCACCCGCCCGCCCCCTCCCCACGCGCCCACCCCCACCCCCCCCCCCCTCCCCCTTGCCCTCTGCCCCCTCCCCCCACCCTCCCCCCCCCCCCCACCACCCGTCCGCCCCCTATTCCCGTCACCCCCCCTCCCCTCCCCCCGCCCTTACCGCCCCCCCCATCCCACCCCCCCCTCCCCCGCCCCCTCCCTCCACCGCCCGCATACCCCGTTCCCCCCCCCACCCCCCTCCCCCCCCACGCCCCCCCCCACCCACCCACCCCACCTCCCCCCCCATGACCCCGCGCCTCCCTCTCCCCCCCCCCCCCGCCCATAGCCACCGACTTCCCCCACCACGCCCGCCCACTCAGCCCTTCCTTCCTCGGCCCCCCCCCCCCCCCGCCCCCTCCCGCCCCCCCCACCCCCCCCCTCCCCCCACCTCCCCCCTCCGCTCCCCCCCCTCGACCCCCCCGGCCCCCCCCCCCAACCCCCACCCCACCACCCCCTCCGTCCGCCCCCCCCCCCCCCCCGCCCGCCCCCACCCCGCCCCAACCGCCCCCCCCACCCCCCATCCGCCCCCCCCAACACCACCGCCCCCCCCCCAAACCCCACCCCCCCCCCCCCCCCCTACCCCCCCGCCGCCCCCCCACCCCCCAACCCCCCCCTCTACCGCCCTCCCCCCCCCCCCACCCCCCCCCTACCCCCCTCGCCCCCCCTACATCCCTCCCCCCCCCCCGCCCCTCCCCCCCCCCACCGCCCCCCCCCCCGATCCGTGCGTCGCCTTCCCCTCAACGCCCCCGTTCCCCCCCCCCCCCCCCCACCCACCCCGCTCCCCCCCACCCTCCCCCCCCCCCCCCGCCGTCCCCCTAGCCCGCCCCTACCTCCTCCCCCCCAGCCCCCCCCTCACCACCCCCCCCCCTCCACCGCTCCCCCCCCCCGCTCCCCCTCTCACCCCCCCCCACCCCACCCCTCCCCCCTCCCTCCCGCGTCCACCCACACCCCCTCCACACCCCCCCCCACCCCCCTACCCCACCTCCTCCCCGCCCCGACCTCCCCACCCCAACTCCTCCGCCCCCCCCGCCCCCCACCCGCCCCCCCCCACCCCCCCCCCCCCCCCCACTACTCCCCCCTCCCCTCCCGCCCCCTCATCGCCCAAACCCACCCCACCCCACCCTGCCTCACCCGCGCCCCCCGCCCCGCCAGCCCCCCCCCCGCCCCCCTCCCTCCCGCGTGCCCAACCCCTGGCCCCCCTACCCCTTCCAAACCCCCCCACACACGACACCTCACCCACCGACCCCCCCCGGATCCCCGCCTTCCTTCTCCCCTTCCCCTCCCGCTCCCCGCGCTCCCCTCCCCCCCCCGCCGGCCCCCCCGCCGCTGCACCCTCCCACGCCCCCCCGCGCGGCTCTACTCCCACCACCCCCGTCCCCCCCACCCCCCGCCCCCCCCCAAGCGCACCCAACCCCCCCCCTCCCCCCCCCCCCCCCCCCCGCCCGGGCCGCCCACGCCCCCCCGCCCCCCCCTCTTCCCCCCCTCCACCGCCGCCCCTTCCACTAACCCCCACCTCCGCCCCCGCCCTCGCCCCCTCCCCGCTCGCCGTCCGCCTCCTCAACCCCCCGCAGCCCCCCTCCCCGCTTGCCCTCGGCCCCCCCCCCCACCCCGGACCCGCGCCCCCCACCCCCCGCCTACCCACCGCACCACTCCGACTCCGCACCCCGCCACACCCCGCCCCGCTCGCCAGCCCTCGACCCCATCCCCCGCCCACGCTTCCCAACCCCCCCCCCCTCGGCACCTACCCCCCCGCCCCCCCCCCCTCTACCCCCTCTTGTCCCCCCCGCTCCGCCCCCCCCGATCAACCACTATCCCCCGACCCGCTCGCCTCAACCCCCCCCTCTCCGTCCCCCCCGTCCCCGCACCCCCCCCCACCACCCCCTCCACCCCCACACTCCCCCGCCCGCACCCACCTCCCCCGCCCGCCCCCGCCCCCCCGGCGTCCCGCCCTTCACCCCCCTCCCCCCTGCCCCCCCTCCTACGGTGCGCCCCAGCTCCCCCGCGCCCGCGCGTCACCGCCGGCCGCCCCCCCCCGCCACCGCCCCCCCCCCCCCCCCCCGCCCCATCTCACCCTCCCCCCGACAGCCCTCCTCCCCCCCGCGTCCCCTTCCCCCCCGACTCCCTCCACACACCGCACCCGCGACCCTCCCCTGAGTGGTTATGCACCCCCCGCCCCCTCCACTCTCGCCCCCCCCCCACCCCTCACCCTCTCTCCCCCACACGCCTGACCACCTCCCCCCCCCGACACCCCCCCCCGCCCCACGCGCACCCACGTACTCCGCCGCCCCCCCCTGACCCCCTACCCCCCCACCCCCCCCGCGCCCCCCCCGCCTCTGGCCCCCCCCCCCCCCCCCACCCACCCCCCTCCCCCATCCCCCCTCCACCCGCCACGCCCCCCCCCCCCTTCCCCCCGCGCCCACTCCTGCCCCCTCCCCCCCCCCCCCTCCGCCCCCCCCCGCCCCCCCCGCCCCCCCCCCCCCACCCCCCCCCCCCCCGCGCTGCCCCCCTCCACTTGCCGCCCCACCACCCCCCTCCCCCGCGACCGCTACCCCTCTCGCTCCCCCCCCCGCCCTGCGCCCCCGGTCCCCCCCCTTACCACCCTCGCAGCACCCATTCCCCAGCGCCTCCTGGGCTCCACCACCCACTCCCCCACCCCTCCCACTCACCACCCCCGCCCCCCCCTCCCCCACGCCCCCACCCCACCCCCTCCTCGCTCCCCTCCCTTCGCCTCATTCCTCCCACCCCCCCGCGTCCGTCCCCCACGCCTCCCCCGCACGCCACCCCCCCCGGCCACTCCCCCCCTGCCCCGCAGGTTGAGGGGTGGGGGGGGGTTGGGTGTTGGGGGTGGTGGGGGGGGGGTTGTTGGGGTGGGAGGGGGGACACCCCCCCCCCCCCACCCCTCCCCCCCCCACCGCCCCGCCCCCCTCCCACCCCAACCCCACTCCCACGCCCCTCACCCCCCCCCCCCCCTCCCCATAGCACACCTCCCCCCACCCCGCCCCTGACACCCCCCGCTAGCCCACCGCACCCTCCCCCCCCCTCCCCCCCCCTGCCCCCCACCCTCGGCGCTCCCCCAACCGCCCCCCCCACGCTCCCGCCCCCCCCCACTCCTCCACCCCCCACCACCCCCCCCCCCCCCCCCGCCCCCCTCCCCCCGCCATTACCCCCCTCCCTTCCCCACCCCCGGCCCCCCCGGACCTCCCCAACTTCGACGTCCGCGAAATCCCTTTCTCCCCCCCTACCCCCCTCCTCCCCTTACTCCCCCCCTCTTGCCCCCCCCTCCCCGCCCTGCCACCCGTTATCCTCCCCTTCCTCCCCCCCTACCCTCCCCCCACCGCCAACCCCCCACTCTTGCAACCCCACCGCCCCTACCCCCCACCCCCCAGCCCGCCCCCCCCAACCTCTCCTGCTTCCCTCCCGCCCACCTCCCCCAACCGTCACCCTGCTCCCCCCCCGCAGCCCCCCTTCTCCCTCGGCCCCACCCCCCCCGCCCCCTATTCCCTACCCCACCCTTCTCGCGCCCCACCCCCCCACCCCCCTCACCACCCCCTTCTCACCCTCCTGCCCCCCCCCCCCACCACCACATCCCCATCCCCTGCCCCCCCTCCCCCCCCCTCCCTCCCCCCCCAACCGAGCCCCACCCCCCCCGCTCCCCCCCCCCCCACAGCACTCCGCACCCTCGGCCTCGTCTCCCCCCTGCCTACCCCCCCACCATCCCACCCCCCCCACCCACCCCCCCCTCTCTCGCCCCCCCGGCCCTCCACCAAACTGTCCCCTCCCCCCGTCCACCCGCCTCCCCCGCATCACATCCCTGCCGCAACCTCAACCCCCCTCCCTCCCCCCCCCCCCCCCCCCCCCCCCAACCCCCTCCCCCACATCCCCCACCCTCCCCCGTCCTAACCCCACCCCCCTCACCCCTACCCCACCCTCCCCCACCTGCTCTCCCTCCCCGCCCCCTCGCCCCGCCCCCAACGCGCCACCCCACCCCCTTTAACCAGCCCCCTCCTCGTCTCGCCGCCCCCCCCTCCCCCCCCCCCCCCACCCCCACATCCCACCCCCCCACCCTTCGGCTAGGTAAGTGTGACGACCGGGCCCCCCTCCCCTCACCCCCCCCTTCCCCCCCCCCCCTCACCCCCCCCACCGCCCCCCCCCCACCCCCCGTTCCCCCCTCCCCGCCCCCCCTCCCACCCTCCACGGCCCTATCTCCCCGCGCACCCTCCGATGGCCCCCACCCCCCCCCTCCCCCCGCCAACCCACGCCCCCACGCCCCCTCCCGCCCACCACTGTCCCCCCCCCCCCCCCCCCCGAACCCCGTCGCACTCCCCCGCTCCCTCCCCCCCCCTCTCCCCCTATCTCCCCCCCACCCATCCCCCCCCCCAACCAACCCCCCCCACCCCCCTCCAACACCCTTCCTTCCCTCCCTCCCCCCCCCCCCCCTCCTCCCCCACACTACCCCCCACCGCCCTCCACTCCACTGCCCCACCCACCCTCTCCCCCACCCCCCCACCCCCCAGCACCACCCACCCGCCCAGCCACCCCGCCCCTCGCCCCCCCCGACCCCCGCCCACCCCTCCCGCCCGCCGCGCCGCGTCCAGCTCCCCACCCCCTCCCCCTCTCCCCGCCCTCCCCCCCTCCCCCCCCCCACCCGCATCCCCTCTCGCCCCCTCCCACCTTCGCCCCCCCCCCCTCTCCCGAACTTCCCGCCCCGCCCCCTCCCCCACATTTACGCCTCCCCCCCCCTCCCCCCACCCCCGCTCACTCCACGCCTCACCCCGCACAACCCCCCCTCCTGCCACCCCTACCCCCCCCCCACCCGCCCCCCCACCCCCCCGCCCCCGCTCCCCTCCTCCCCTCCACCTACCCCCACTCCCCCCCCCCTCCCCCCTCTCCCGCGCCCCCCCATCCCCGCCCGCCCCCTCCCCGCCCCCCTCCCCCCCCGCCACACTTCCTCCCCCGCCGTCTCCTTCCTCCTCCCCTCCCGCGCCCACCACCGACCAACCCTCCTCGACGCTCCCTCCCGTCCCACCACTCCACCCCGTCAACCGCACATCGTCCTCCACCCCCCCCTCGCCTGGACACCCCGAACCTCCCTCACCCTCCCCCCCCCCCCCCTCCCCCCACGCCACCCCCCCCCCCTCCCACCCAACCCACCACGCGGCCACCCCCCCCCCCCCCCCGCCCGCCCCAGGGCCCCCCCCCCCCCCCCCCCACCACCCCCCCACCCCCCCCCCCCCGCCTCCCCTCCCCCCCCACCTCCCCGCCCGCCCCCCCCCCCACGCCCGCCCCCCCCCCCCCCCCCCCCCACCCCCCCGCCCCCCCCCCTCCCACCTCCCTACCGCCCCCCCCCCCCCCCCGACCCACCCACGCCCCAACCGCCACCCCGTGGGGGGGGGGAGGGGGGGGGGTGATTGGGGGGGGGGGTGGGAGGGGGGGGGGGGTGTGGTGGTGGGGTGGGAGGGAGGTTGGGGGATTTGGGGGGGGGGTGTGTGGGTGGGTGGGTGGGTGGGGGGGGGGTGGGGGGTTGGGGGGTGGGGGGGGGGGGGAGGAAGGGGGGGGGGGGGGGGGGGTTTTGTGTGGGGGTGGGGGGGAGGGGGGGTGGGGGTGGCGGTGGGGGGGGGGGAGGGGGGTGGGGGGGGGGGGTGAAATAAATAAAAAAAAAAAAATAAAAAAACAAAATAAAAAATAAAAAAATAAAAAAAAAAAAAAACAAAAAAATAAAAAAAAAAAAAAAAAAATAAAAAAAAAAAACAAAAAAAAAAAATAAAAAAAAAACAAAAAAAAAAAAAAAAAAATAAAAAAAAAAAAAAAAAAAACAAAAAAAAAAAATAAAAAAAAACATAAAAAAAACAAAAAAAAACAAAAAAAAGAAAAGAAAAAAAACAAAACAAAAACAAAAAAAAAAAAAAAAAAAAAAAATAACAAAAAAAATTAAAAAAAAAAAAATAAACAAAAAAACAAATAAAAAAAACAAAAACAAAATAACTATAAAAAAAAAAAAACAACAAAAAACGAATAAAAACTTAAATAACAAAACATAAAAAAAATAATAAACAAAAACATCACATAAAAATAAAAACAAACACGAAAAAAAAAAAACAAAACCCAAAAAAAAAAAACACAAAACAGCAAAACAAAAAAACAAAACACAAAAACAAACAAAAACCACAAAACAACAAAAAACACAACAACATCAAAACCCCCATACAACCGCTCGAAAAACGCAGACCAAAACAAAACAATCCAACCCCCCCACACTCAATCCCCCCCCGGCCACTCCCCTCTCCCACCGCCCCCCCCCCATCCCCCCGCCCCTCAATGGCGACCCACCCCCTCCCACACCGCCCCCCCGCCCACCAACCACCCCCCCACCCCCCCCCCCCCCCTAAGTCGCTCCGCCAACCCCCCCCCCCCCTTCATCCCACGTCCCCCCCCCACGACCACCACCCCACCCCCCCCCCCCCCCCCCCCCCCGCCGCCCGACACACACCTCCCCCCCCCGACCGCCCCCCCAACTAGCACAGCCCCTCGGCATCTTCTCCCCCCCCACTCTCTCCCCCCCGTCCCTACCCCCCCACCCACGCCCTCGCCAGCCCCACACCCACCCCCCACCCCCCCACCCCGCCCCCCCCCCCCCCCCACCCCCTCCCCTCCCCCGCCACCGACCCCCCTCCCCACCCCCCCCCGCCCCCGCGCCCCCCCCCCCCCCACACCCGCACTCCCCCCACCTCCACCCCCCCCACTCCCACCCCCACCCCGGGCCCCCCCCAAGCTCGCGCCCCACTCCCCCCCTCCCCCACCCCTCCGCCTCCCACCCCACATGCCCTAAGAACACCCCCAACCCCGCACCGGATGCCACACCGCGCGACTTAACCATAGCTACCCGCCTAGCAGCCCACCACCTTCCCCACGCCCGACTCGCTCCCCCCAACCGCGCCGTCTTCCGCCACCCCCTCCCGTCCTCCGCCCGCTCCCTGCAACCCCCTCTTCCTCGCGTTCACTGTAACTCCAAATGCCACAGCGCAGTACCACACTGACCGACTACGCCGCCCTGCACCCCACCGGTCCCTGACCGCGTCCCCTCCCACTGTCCCGCTCCCGAAGGTCCACGCCCCTCCCCGCGCGCCCCACTCGACGCCCAACTCTCGCAACGCACGCCCTCCCCTCCCCCCCTCTTTACGCCCACCACTCTCCAGCACCGCTAGGCCCCCCCCAGATCCCAACCCTCGCCCAACCACTCACACTCCTCCTCAATCTCCACTACATGCTCTCGCCCTGACGCGCCCCCCTCTGCCCACCACCCCCCCCACTCCCCCCTCCCCGCACACCGCCCCCCCCCCTCCCCCCCTCGCTCCTCCGCCGCGACCTCCCCCCACCCCCTCGCCTCCCCCCCCCCCAACCCACCCCCGCCCGCTACTCCTCACCCGGCCCACCCCCCTCGGCCCCCCCCCGCCCCCGCCCACTACCCCTCACCCCCGCCCCCTCCCCCCTCCTCGCCCCCCCCCCCCCCCCACGCCCCCCCCCCCCCCCCCTCCTCCGCTCTCTGCCGCCCCCCACCGCCCCCCCCCGAACACCCCCCAGACCCCCCGCTTCCCTCGCCCCCCCCCCCCCTATCCACCCCCCCCCCCGACCCGCCGCCCTCCCTCCCCCCAACCCCCCACCCACCCTCCCCCCCTACCTCCACCCCTCCACCCCCACTCCCCGCCCCCCCCCACCCCGCACTCCCCCCCCCCGTGCTACCACCTCTGACCACCAAGCCGCCTGCCACCCCGCCCGCCCCCCCCACCCCCGCTTCCCCGCGTCCCCCCCGCCCCCGCACCCTCCTCTCCGCTCATGTACCCGACCCTTCCGTAACCACGCCCCGCCCCACACCGCCCCCCCCCTCCTCCCCCCTCACACACCCCAACCCCACGTCCATCCCTCCGCCCCGCCCCTCCCCACTCCCCACGCCTCCCCCCCACCGCCCCCCCACCTTCCCCCCCCCCGCGCTCCTCCCCCCCCCATCGCCATCCCCGCGTGCCGCGCCTCGGTGGCTCCCCGACTGGCGTTTCCGACCCGCCCATGCGGAACTATCGTGCTCGCCCCCCCTTCCCACGCGCCCCGCCGAATGGTATTACGCTTAGTAAAACGTCGCCTCTCAACCTTACCGTCCCCGCGCTCTGGCGAGCCCCCCCCCTCCTCACGTACCCCCTTCCAGCCCGCGCCACCCCTCCCTCGACCCCGTCCCCATTGCCGCCTACTGCTCATACGACCACCCACTCTGCGGCCCCGTCCACTGCCCATCTACGTCCCTAGCTCACCTACCCCCCCCTCCCCTCCCCCTCCCCGCCCCCCAGCCCCCCGCCTCCGCCCGCCTGCCCCCTCCCCCGCCCGCCCCCCCCCCCGCCTCCGCCTGCCCCCACCCCCCACGCCCCCCCCCCACCTCCGACCCCCCCAGTGCCCATTCCCCCCACACCTCCCACCTCCCTCCCCCCCCCCACACCCCTCCCGGCCACCGCCCCCACCGCCCCTCCTGACCCCCTCCCCCTGCCGCAGCCGTCTCACGGCCCCACACCCCCGCCAAGACACGCTCCCAACGCCCCGCACGCCCCTTCCCTCCCCTCTATCCCCCCCGCACCCCCCCCACCCAACACCCCCGCCACCCCCCCCCCTTTCCTCCCGCCCCCCCACCTAGCCCCCCCCCCTCCCTCCTACACTCCACCCTGTCTACACCCCCGTCCCCCTCCCCCCCCCGCCCCCCCCCCCCACCCCTCGCAACCGCGCCCCCCCCTCCCGCCGCCTCCACCCAACCCCCCCCCCCGCTCGCTCCCACTCCTCGCCTACGCCACGCGCCCCCCCCCTCAACCGCCCCTACTTCTCTTCCCCCGCCCCCACTCCCCGCCCCACCCACCCCCCCGCCCACCCCCGCCCGCCCCCCCCCTCTCCCCCCCCCCCCCCCCCCCTCCCCCCCAGCTACAGGACCGCCACCTTTCAGCACTCCCGGCCTCCCCGACCCCGTCCCTAACAGCCTCCCCCCCCCCCCCCCACCTCCCCGCACTACCGCCCCCCCCGCCCGACCCCCCACCGCAACCCCACCACCGGCACCCCCCCCCTCCCCCCCCCCAACCCCCTCTATCCCCCCCCCTCCCCTCACACATGCCCCCTACACCTCCACTCCGCCCCCACCACCCGTAGCACCCGCAACCCACCCTCCCCCCACCTCCCCTCTCCCCCCCCCTATCAACGAACCCAGCCCAAACCCCCCGTCCCTGCTACCACCCCCCCCACGCCCCCCCCTCTCCCCCCGCCCACCCTCCAATTCCCCCACCCCCACCTCACCGCGCCCTACGCCCCCCCCCCCCCCCCCCGCCGCCCACCCGCCCCGCCCCGAACCCACCCCCCCAGCCCGCCCTCCCCCGCCCGCCCACTCACCTCTCCTCCCCTCCACACTCACTCCACCCGCCCCTGACCCCACCTCCATCTTCCAGCCCGCCCCTCCTCCTCCCCGTTACCACCCCGCCCCCCCCACCCCCCCCGCCCCACCCCCCCCCCCCCCCCGCCCCCCTCCCCCGCCCTCCCCCGACTACGCCCGCCCCCCCCCACCCCCTCCCCCCCCCCCTCCCCTCCCCCCCCCCCGCTCGCCCTGACGCCCCACTCCCCTCCACCTCCTTCCACCCCTCGCCCCCCCCTCCCCACTGGTCACACCCCTCACCCCCCAACACCCCCTACCCCCTCCGTGTCACGGGTGGGCCCATACCCCCACTCGCCCACCTCCTCCCAGGTCGCCCCTCCCCCACTCCCCCCCCCTACCTTCCCCGCCCCCTCGTTCCCCCCCCTCGTTCGCCCCCCCTCCCTGTCCCCCCGCCCCCCACACCCCCCCCACCCCCGCCCGCCCGGCCCCCGGACCCCCTCTCCCCTGCTCGGAGCGGTGCCCACCCCCCCGCTTCCATGGGCGGCCGTACCTTCCCCCCCCACCCGGGCTGTTCCCGCCCTCCACCACGCGGCGGCCCACCCCCGCCCCCGTCTCCTCCTCGCCCCTAGCCGTCGCCGACATTTCCTGTGCGCCCCCGGTGGTTTTTTGATCCCTCTGCTGCCTCCGCACACCTTCCGACACCCCACGCCCCACCGTGCGGCGTCCCCCCGGACCCTGGCCGCTCGCCCCCCCCCCCCACCCCCCCTCCCACCCGCCCCCGCCCCCCCTCGCCCCTCCCGCCGCTCTCCACTCACCCCCTCCCCTTACTCCGCCCCCATCCACGCCCAGCCCGTCCACACCCCCTCCACCCCCGGTCCCCCGCCCACCCCCTTCCGTACCCACTACCCCCTACTGCCCTTCCCCCCCATATTCCCTCCCCCCCACCCCCCCAACCCCCCGTCCTCATCTCCCATCCCCCCCCCGTCTCCACCCGCCGCTTCCCCCGCTGTGCACCCCTCCGTCCACCCCCACCCCCCCCCCCCCACTCCCCACCCCCCTCCCGACACCCCTCCGCCCGCCCCCCCCCCCGCCCCACGTCCCCCCCGGACGTCCGCCCCACCGCCAGCCCACCACGACGACGCTCCCCACGCCCCGCCTCGCCCCACCCCCCTTCCGCCACCCCCCCCCTCACCCCCCAACCCCCCCCCTTTTCCCCATCCACCTCCCCCCCCCTCACTACCCCTCCCGCCCCACCCCCCTGCCCCCCACGCCCCCCCCCCCTGTGGTGTGTTTTACCCCCCCCCTCCCCCTGCACATCACGCCCTGTCCGCGCGAGTACCCGCCCCCGGCGGGCCGCTTACCCGCTCTCCCACCCGCCTTCACCCACCCACCTACCACCCCCCGACGGCCCGTCCTCCCACCCCCCTCTCCACCGCCCCACCCCGACCTCACACCCCAACTCCCCTCCGCCCCCCTAACCCCCCCCACGGTGCCCCCCCGCAGGCCCCCCCTCGCCCCAACCCTCCTCACCCCCATTCCACCCCCTCCACACCTCCTCTCTCTCCCCCCCCCGCCCCGCCCCTCCCCTCCCCCCCCACCGACCTACCCGTACCACCACCGCGCCCGCCCCTCCGCTCCTCCGCCCTCCCCCCCCGCCCCGCCCACCCCCACCCCCCCCCCCACCTCCCTCCCGCCCCGTCCCCCGCCCCCCTCACGCGCCAACCCTCTCCTCGCCCCCCCCCCCGCCCCGCCCCCGGCCACCCCCCCCTCTGCGCGCCCCCCCCGCCCCTCCTCCAGCCCCCGCCCCCCCTCCCCCCCCCCCCATCCCCAACCCCCCCCCCCCCCCCCCCCCCTCCGTCACCCCCCCCCCCCCCGCCCCCCCCCACATCTCCCCCCCACCAGAGCTAACCCCCCCCCCCCACGACCGAACCGACCATACCCGCATCAACCCCCTCCCCCTCCTTCGCCTGGCCCCCCCCTCCCCGCCCCCGCCCCCACCTCCACCCCCTCCCCATCCCACCCCCCACCCCCTCCCCTTCCCCCCACCCCCCCGCCCACCCCCGCCCCCCCCACACCACCCTCAACCACTCACCCCCCCCCCCCCCCCACCCACCCCTCCCCCCCACACCCCGCCCCACCCTGGGCCCCTCCCCCACCCACCCCCCCCCCACATCCCCCCCCCCACGCCCCACCCCGACCCCGTCCCCCCCCCCCCCCCCCCACCTCCCCCCCTTCCCGCCCCGCTCCTCCCCCACCCCCCCCCACCCCGTAACCCCCCCACCCACCCCCCTCCCCCCCCCGCCACCCCCCCCCCCCGGCCCCGCACCCCCCACCGCCACGTCCCCCCCCCCCACCTTTCCTCGCCCCCACACCCCTATACCCGCCCCCACGTCCCCCCCCCCCAGCCCCCTCGCCGCCCTCCCCCCCTCCTCCTTCCCCCCCCCCGCCGCCCCCCCCCCCGTTAACCCCGCACCCCCCCCCCGCTCATCTTCCCCCCACTCCACCACCCCCTCCCCCCCTCGCCCCCCTCCCCCCCCGACTCCCCTACCCACCCTCCCCTTCTCCCACTCCCCTCCCCTCCCCCCCACCCCGCACCGCCCCACCCTCGGCTCCTTCGCCCCCCCACCCCCACACCAAACACCCACCCCCCCACCCACCTCCGGTCTCACCCCCCGCCCCCCGTCCCCCTTGACCCCCCGCCCGCTCACCCCGCCCCCCCCCTCATCCCCGCCCCCCCTCCTCCCCCTCTCCTCCCCGCCGCCCCACCCCACACCCCCCCTCCCACCCCCACGGCTCCCTGACACGAACGACCTCCCACGCCCCCGCACTTCCACCCACCACCCCCTTCCCCCCCGACCCCCCCGCCCCCCACCCCCACACCCCCTCCCCCACCCCCGACCTACCCCCCAAGCCCCCACCCCACCTCCCCACCCCCCTGCCCCCCTCCCCCCCCCCCCCCTCTCAGCCACCCGCCCCCCGCCCCCCCCTCGCATCCCCCCCCGCCCCCCACTCCCCCCCCCCCCTGCTCCATCACCCCGTCCCTCGACCCGCCCTCCGGCACCACCCCGCCCCCCCCCGCTCCCCCGCCGCCACTCCCGCGAATTTGCCCCCGCACCCCCCCCTTCCTTTCCCTCCTCCCCCCCCCCTCCCCCCCGTGACCCCCCCCCCCCGTACACCCTACCCTTCTCCAACCCCCCCCTTCCCACTCCACCCGCCCCAGCCCTACTCCCGCACTTCACCCCCCCGCCCCCCACCTCCCCCACCCACCCCACTCTCTCTCCCCCCCTCTCCCTCCCCCCTCCCCCATCCCACCGGCCCCGGCCTCCCCCGACCCCGCTCCTGCCGCCTTGCCCTTCCCCCCCACGTCCCTCACCACCCACTCCTCTCCCCCCCTGCATCTGCCCTCGCCCACTCCGCACATCCCCCCCCCCCCCCACCCGCCCCACCTCATCTCCAGGCAAATCCCCACCCCTCCCCCCCCGCTCCACCCCCAAATCGCCCACCCGCTCACCTCCCCTCCCATCCATCCCCCGTCCCCGGCCCCCCCCCCCCTCCCGGCTCCCCCCCCCCCCCCTCTCCCCCAAACCCCTACCCCTCCCCCCCACCCCTCTCCCCCCCCCATCTCCCCCCACGCCCCCCTACCGTCGCCACCCCGCCCCCTCACCCCACCCCCCGCCCACACCACCGTCCACCCCCTCTGCCCCTCCCCCACACCTCCTCCCCCCCCCAGCCCCCCAACCCCCCGCCACGCCTGTCCACCCCCCCCCCCCCCTTCAGCCCTCCCCCGCTCTACCCCACCCTCCCTCCCCCCCCCGCCATCCCCCCCCCGCCCCCCGCCTCCCACCCGGCACCCCCCCCTCCCGATCCCCCCCCCCCAAAAACACGCACCCCCCCCCCACCCCCCACCCCGCCCCCATCTCCTCCCCCCCGCCCCCCAACCCCGCCCCCACCCTGTGCCCTCACCTCTCGCCCACTCCTGATCAATTACCCCCCCTCCCTCCCCGCCCCCCCTCCCGACTCACCCTCCTCGCCTCCACCCCCACGCCCCGCCGCCCCCCCCCCCCCTCCCCCAACCCGTCCCCCCCCCCAGCACACGTCCCCAGCCCCCGCTCCACCACACCTCACTCAACCACGCACGCTCAGCCACCCCCCGCCGCCCCCCCCCCCGCTCACCCCTCCCCCCCCCCCCTTCCCCCTCACCCACCCCCCCCCCCCGGCCTCCCCACCCCCCCCCACCCCCTCCACCGCACCCCGTCCCCCCTCGACCTAACTTCCCCCCCCTCCTCCCCGCCTGCCACCCCTCCCCCCCCCCCTGCTACCCCCCCCCACCCCCCCCCCCTCACCCCCCCTCCACCGCCCACTCCTCCTCCGCTCTCGCCCCCTAACCCTTACCCACCCTCACCGCCCTCCCGCCCCCCCATCCACCCCACCCCCCCCCCGTCCCCCCCATCGCCCCCCCTGCCATCCCTCCCCTGCTCCCACCCGGCTCCCCTCTCCGAACCAACGCGACCTCGCCACCCCCAAACCCCCTCCCCCACGACCCCCTCTCCCCCCGCCCTCGCCGCCGCCCCCCCCCCCCCCCCCGCCCCCCCGTCGCAACCCCCCCCCCACACCCCACCACGTCCCTCCCCCCGCCTCCCACCCCCCCCCCCCCCCCCCCTCTCTCACCCCCACCCTCACGCCAACACCCCTTCCCGCCCTCCGCCCGGTCTCCCCCACCCGCCCCACCCCCCCACCCCCTTCCACCCGCCACACTCCCCCTATCCCCCCCCCGACAAACCCCCCTCCGCCCCCTTCCCTACCCACCTTCCCTTCCCCCCAAGGCGCCCACTCCTCCCGCCCCCTCCAACGCCCCCCCCTCTCCCCGCCCTCTCTCCCCCCCACTCCCCCTCTGACCCCCCCCTCACCCACACCCCCACTGCCCACCTCCCCCTCCCCCCCACCCATCCACCCGTCCCCCCCCCCCCGGCCCCCGTCAATTCGACCCCCCCCCTCGTGTCACCTCCACGCCCCCACGCGCCCCCCAAATGCCATACCACCCTCCCTACCATCGCCACACTCGCCCGACCACAGTTCCCCGCCGCCCCCCCGCTCCCACTCCACTTCCCCTCCCTCGCGTCTGCTCCACCCTCCCCTCGCCCACGTCTCAACCACCCCCCCTCCCCGCTCCCCATCCCCACGCGCCCCCCCCCACTCCCCCCGCCCCCGCCTGCCCCCGCCGGGCCCCCCCCCCTCCCCCCCCCCCCCCCCCCCGCCCCACACCACGCCCCCACCCCCCCACGACCCGGCCCTTCCCACGCTCCCCCTCGCCCGCCACCCCGCCCCCATACACCTCCCACTCCTGCTACCCGCCCCTCCTCACCCGACCTCCCACCCCTCCCCCATCCCGCCCCCCTGGCCCCACAACCGCCATCCCGCCCCCCCCTCCGATCCGCCTCCCCCACCCACACTCCACCCCCCCCCGCCCCCCCCCACCCCCCCCCCCCACACGGCCGCCCCCGCCCCCCCATCCCCTTCCCCCCCCTCCCTCCACCCCCACTCACCCCCGCCCCTCCCCCCACTCCCCCTTCCCCAGTCCCTTGCCTAACCACCACCCCCACCCCCGCCACCTCTGGTCCCGCTCCCCCCCCGCCCCCCCCCCCACCCCCCCCCCCCCGCCCGCCCCCTCCTTTCCGCCCACCCCTCCCCCCATGTTCCATACCCAGCCCCACCCGACCCCCCCCCACTACCACCACCGCGCCCCGGGCCCCCGCCCAACTCTTACCCCTGTCTGTTCGGCCCCACCTCCCCTCCCCCCCCCGCGACGCCCGCCCCCCTCCCCCCCACACCCCTCCCCCGCCCGCTCTTCCCCCCCACCCCACCCCCCACCCCCTCCCCTACCCCCCCCGCCCCTTTCCCCCCCACCCCTTCCCCCTCACCCACCCATCCCCCCCCCCCCCCACAAGGCCGCCCCCCCGTTCTCCCGCCCGGCCCCCCCCCCGTGTAGGAGGGGTTGTATTCACCCACCCCCCACCCCCCTCCCCCGCCCCTCGCCTCGCCCCCCGCCCCACCCCCACCACCCCCCCCCCCACCCGACCCCCTCCCCCCGCAATCAGCCACGTGCCCCCTGCCCCCGCCTCCTCCATTCCGCTCGCCTCCCTCCCCCCCCTCCCCCCCCCCCGCCCCCCCCGCTCTCCCCACCCCCCCCCCGCCCAACCCTCCCCCGGCCCTCCCGCTCCTCCCTTCTACCACCAGCACCAGCACCCCCTCCCGCGCTTCGCCCCAGCACCGCCCCCCCTCCACCGCTTCCCCACCCGACCCCAGCCCCCCCCACCCCCCTTCCCACCGCCCCTCGCCACATCCCACCCCTTCTCCACCCCCGCCCCCCCCCTACTCCCCCCCACCCCCCAACCCCACCGCCCCCCTGCCCACCCTCGCCACCCATCCCACATGCCACCCTCCCCCCCCCCACCCCTCCCGGCCCCAACCCCGACCCACTCCACTCCCCCCCCCCCCGCTCCCTCCCCCCCCCCCCCCTTTTCCCTGCCCCTGTAGCCCCCCACCCCTCCGATCCGCCGGACCCCTCCCCCCCGCCCCCATCCCACCCCGACCCTTCACCCCCCCCACCCCACCCACCATCCCTAGCCCCCCACCCCCCACCCACACCCCCCCCCGCAGCCAACTCACCCCCCCGCGCCCCTTTCCCCCCCCCCCGGCCCCCCCCCACCCCACCCTCCTCCCCTCCTCCCCCAGTCGCCCCCCCCCAACCCCCCCCCACCCCCTTCCCCCCCCCCCCCCCCCCGCAGTCCCCTCCCCCCCCGACCCGACCCCCCACCACCCCCGACCGCCCCCCCCCCCCCTCCCATCCTCCCCCACACCACCCTCACCCCCTCCGCTCGCTCCCCGCCCCCACCCCACCCCCCCGCGCTCCCCCCCGTCCCCTCAGACCCCCCACACCCCCCCCCCCCTTCTCCTCCCCGCGCCCCCTGCGGCGTACCCCACGGCTTCACACCCCCCCCCCCGACACCCCACTCACCAACGCCCGTGCCGGCCCACCCCACCCTCACTGATCCGGGCCCACCCTCCAATCCCCTGTCCCACCGGTCGCACATGCCCCGACCTCTTATCCTAGGCAGCATGAGTCCAAGGCCCCCCCCCCGACCCCCCACTCCCCCCACCACCGACCACTCCCCCCCCCCCCCCCCGTACCCCCCCCCCCCCCCACTTATCACGCCCCCCACCCCGCCGCCCCGCACCACCACCTAAACGCCTCCCATCTCCGGGACCCCCCCCTCTCCCCCCCCCCCCTTTCCTTTCGCCCCCCTCACCCCCCCCTCCCCGCGCTCCTCCCCCTCCCCCCCCAACCCTTCCCCCCTCTCCTCTTTCCCAACCCCTCCCCACCCCGTCCACCCCCCCCCGCCCCCCCCCCCTCCGACCCGTCCCCCCCACCCCCTCGAACCCTCCGCCCCCTCCCCCCCTCCGCCCACACCCTACCCCCACACCCCCCGCCCCCCTCCCCCTCCGCCCCCCCCCTCTACCCCCCCCCCCTCCCCCCTCACCCCCACCCCCCCCCCCCGACTCGCATTCCGCGCCGCCCCACCCCCCCGCTCCCCCTCATCCCTGCCCACCCCGCCCCCCGCGCCCGCACGGCCCCCCACCCCACCCGCTATCCCCCCCCCCCCTCCGACCCCCCCACCCCCCGCCCTTCCACCCTTCCCCCCCGCTCCTCCCCCCCTCCGGCTGCCAGTTCCCCACCCCCTCCGGCCCACGCCCCCCGCCCCCCTCGCCCCACCGTCACCCCTCACCCCCCCCACCCCTCCCCCTTCGACGCCCACCCCCACCCCCACCCACTCTTCCCTCCCCACCCCTCCCGCCTCCCGGCCCCCCCCTCCCCCCCCAACCAACCGCAACCCCCCACCCACCCTCGCCCACCCTCTTACCCGCGCCCCCCCCCTCCCCCCCTCCCCCTGCTCCACACACCGACCCCCCCCCGTTAACACGGCCCCCGGTACCCCGCTCCCCCCCCCCCTCCCCCCCTCCCCCCCCTACCTCCCCCCCACCCCCCCCACCCCCTCCACGCCCCCACACTCCCCCCCCCCCCAGCCACCCCCCCCCTCCCCCTCCCCCCCCACCCGCCCCTGCCCCACGCACCCCCCCCCCCCCCCCCGCTCCCCACCCCCCCGCCCCTCCCCCCCCCCCCGCCGACCGCCCTCCCCCCCCCCTCCTCCGCCGCCCCGCCCCCCACCCCCCCCGCGCCCCTTTCTCCGCCCCTCCCCCCTCCTCCGGCCGCCCCTCGCACCCCCCCCCCCGCCCATCCCTCCCCGCCCCCCAACACCCCCGCACCCTCCCCCCGCCCCCCACCCCCCTCCCCCCGCTTCCCCCCCACCGCCCCCCCCCCTCCGCACCCACAATCCCCCCCTCCCCCCCCCTATACTCCCCCACCCTTCCCCCCCCCCTCCCCCCCCCCCCCCCGCGCCCCGCTTCCTCATTCCGGCCCCAGGCCCCCATCCTCACACACCCGCCCCCCTCCACCCCGCGACCCCCTCACCCCCCCGCACCTCCCCCTCCCCCCCGCCCACCCCCACCGCCACCCGACACGGACCTAGCCCCCTTCCCCGCCCCCCCCCTCCCCCCACCCGCCCCCCTACAACGCACTCCACCGCAGCCCCCCCGACCCCCCCTCGTATCCCCCCCCCCTCCCTTCCCTTCAGCCCCACCCCCCCTCCCCCCCCCACCACACTCACCCCCACCGCCCCGCCCCCCCCCCACCCCCCTCGCCCCCCCACGCCCCCCCGCACCCCCCCCGCCCCGCGCCCCCCCTTCCCCCCCCCACCACCCACCCCTACCACCCCCCCCCCCCCCAGCACCTCCCCCCCCTCCCGCGCCCTGACCCTCCTCCCCCCCCCAACCCCCCACCCACCCCACCCCCCCACTCCGTCCCCCCCACCCACAACCCCCCCCCACCCCCCCCGCCCCTCCCCACACCGCCCTCCCCCCTCCACGCCCCCCCCACCTTCCCCCCCCCGTCCCCGCCCCCCCTGCCCCCCCGCCCCGCCCCGCGCCCCCCCATCCCCCCCCTCCAGCCCCGTCCCCCCCCCCCCTCTCCCCGACCCCCCGACCCTGCCCCCCCCCCCCCCTCCCTCCGCAACCATGCCCCCTCTCCCTCCGCCGCCCCCCCCCCCCCCGCCCTTGCCCGCGTCCGCGAACCCTCCCCAACACCACCCCCCCCCAACCCATCTCCCCCACCCCCCCCGGCCAGCCCCCCCCGCCCCCCGCCCCCGGACCCCCCCCCACCCGCTGTTTCGGATTTTATGTCGGTTATTTGATTGTTCACCCCCGCGTCCTCTCGCCCGTCCAACCCCCCAACGCCCCCCCCACCCCCCCCCGCCCCCCACCCCCCCCCCCGCCCCCCCCCCCGCCCCCCCCCGCCCACACCACGCCCCCCCCCCCCGCCCGCGCCCCCCCCCCCCCCCCACCCCCCACCCCCACCCCCCTCAAGCCACCCCCCCGGCCCCCCCACCACCCCCTCCACCCTCCCCCTCCTCCCCCCCCGCCCACCCGCCCATTTTCCCCTCCCCACCCCCCTCGCCGTCCTGCCCAACCCCCCCCCTTACTCCCACCCACCGCCCCGCCCCCCCGCACCCACCCGCGCCCCCCCCCCCCTATCCCCCCCCCCCCCCCCGGTCCCCCCCCAGCCCCCACCCCTCCACCCTCCGCACCTCCTCACGCCCTCCCCCCCCCCCCCCTCCACCACCCCCCCACCCCCCCCCACTCCACTACCCCCCTCCCTCGAGCCCGCCCCCACCCCCCTCCCCCCCCCCCCCCTCCCCCCCCACCCCCCGCCCCCCCCCCCCCCCCCGCCCCACCCCACCCCCGCCCCCCCCTCACTCCCCCACCTCCTCGCCGCCCCCCCAGCCCCCGCCCCCACCCCGGCTACACCCCTCCCCCCGCCCCGCCCACCCCCGTCTCCGCCTGCCCCCGCCCCACCGCACCCCCCCCCCCCCCCCGCCCCCCCCCCCCCCATCCCCCCACGCACTCCGAACCCCCTAACTCGGCCCTCCCCCCCCCCCCCCCCCCACCCCCCACCCCCCTCCCCCCACCCCCTTCCCCTACGCAACCCCCCCCCCCCCCCCCCTCTCCCCCCCCATTGCTCCCCCCCCCCCCAACCCCACACTGCCCCCCCCCCCGCACCCCCCTCCCACCCCCTCCCCCCCTCCCCCAACCCCACCCCCTACCCCCCCCCCCGACTCTCCCCAGCCCACCCCCCCCCCCACCCCCCCCCCCCCCCCCCGCACCCCTCCCCCTCACCCTCCCACCCCCCCCCCCTCACCCACCCCCCCACCCGCCCCCACGCCACCCTCCGCGCTACCCCCCCCCGCCCCGCACCCCCCCCCTCCGCCCCCCCATCGCGCCCCGCGCCCCCTCCACCCGACCCCCACATCCCCCCGACGCCCCCCCCCCCCCCTCCCCCCACCCCCACCCCCCCCCCCCCCGACCCCCCCCCCCCCTCCCCCTCCGACCCCCCCACCCCCCTCCCACCCCCCCCCCCCCCATCGCCCCCCCCCTCCATACACCTCCCCCCCCTGCCCCCCCCCGCGCTCGCACTCCCGCCCCGCCCCCCACCCAACCACCCGCCCCTCCCCCCGCCACCCCTCGCTCTCCCCCCCCCTACCCCCTCCCCCCCCCCCCTCCCCCTCTACCCCCACACCCCCCGAACCGCTCCACCCCCGGCCGCCACCCCCCCGCTCCCCCCGCACCCGCCACACCCCCCCCCCCCACCCCCCCCCACCTTCCCCCCACCCACGCGCCCCCACCCCCCCGAACCCCCCCCCCCCCCCTGATCCCCCACCACCCCCCCTCACCCAAACCCCCTCCGCCCAAAGCCCCCCCTCGCCCCCACCCCGTCCCCCCCCCCCACACCGACCCCCCCCGCCCCCCCCCCCCCCCCCCCCCCACCCCCCTCCCTCACCCCCCCCTTCCCCCCCTCCCCACCCGCCCGGCACCCCCCCCCCCCCCTCCACTCTCGCCCACCCCCGCCCCAACTCCCACGCCGCCCCCCCCCCCCCCCCCCCCCCCATGCCCCCTCCCCTCCCCCCCCCATCTCTCCGGCCACCGCCCTCCCCCCACCCCCCCCCACCCCCCCCTCCCGCCCCCCTCCCCCCCTGCCATCCCCCCCCCCCGCCCCCCCCCCCCTGCCAGACTTCTCCCGCCCACCCCCCCCCCCTCCACCCCCCCCCTGCCCCCTCCCCCCCACTGGCTATCTCCCCCCCCCCACCCAACCCACCCCACCCCCATACCCCCATGCCCCCCCCCACCTTCTCACTCCCGCCCTTCTGCCCCCCCACCCCTCCCCCGACCCCCCCGCCCGCCCCTCCCCCACCCCCCCCGCCTCCCACGCCCCTCCCCCCCCGGCCCTCCCCCCCCCCCCACCCCCCCCCCCCCCCCCCCCCCCCCCGCCCCACACCCGGCCTCCCCACGCCCCCACCCGCACGCTCCATCACCCGAGCCCCCCACCCAGCCCGCTCCCCACCCCCAGCCCCCCAACCTCCCCCCCCCCCCCATCCCCACCCCACGCCTCCCCCGCCTCTTCTCCCCTCCCCCGCCCCCCCCCCACTCAAGCCATGAGTCCACCCCCCCCCACGCTCCCCCCCCCCAACCCCCCCCCCCGCCCCCCCCCGCCCTACGCCCTCCCGGCCCCCCCACATCCCCCCCCTGCCCCCCCGCCCCAATCCCCCCGCCCCCCGCCCCCCCCCCCCCCCTCCCGCCCGCCACCCCCCTCCACCCCCCACCACCCCCCTACCCCGCCCTACCCCCAACCCCTTCGCCCCAACTCCGGCCGCCCGCCACGCCCCCCCGCTCGCCCCCCGGCCCCTCGCCCCCCCCCCCGGTCCACCCCCCCCTCTCCCCCGATCCCCCCCCGTCCACCACCCTCCTTCCCTACCCCCCCGCGGCGTCCCCCCTCCGCCCCTCTCCCCCCACCCGCTCCCGCCGTTCCGCGCCCCGCACCCCCCCCCCCCCCCGCCACGGCCCCCCCCCCCCTCACCCATCCCCACCCCCCCCCCCATCCCCACTCCCCCCCCGCTGCCGCCTTCCACGCCCCCCCACCGGGGGTTGTGGGGCCCTGCCCCCCCCCGCCCCCCCCGCCCACCCACCCCCCTCCCCACCCACGCGCCCGCCTCCCCCCCCTCTCCCCCCACCGCCACCCCCCACAGACCCCACCCCCCCCCCTCCCCACCCAACCGCCCTCCGTCCCCCCCCCTCTCCACACACCCCCGCCTCCTACCTCCCCCGCCCTCCTGTGCCTCACCCACCCCCTCCACCACCCCGTCTCTTGCCCCTCCTCCCCCCTCCGCTCCCCTCACCCTCCCCCCTTTGCCACCTCGCTCCCTCCCCCCCCCCACCCCGCGCCACGCCCGCCCCCCCCCTCCCCCCCCCGATTTGCCAGTCCCCCCACCCCCCCCCACCCTCCCCCCCCCCCCCTCCCCCCACCCTCCCCACCCTTCCCCCCCAGCCTCCCCCGCTACTCCCCCCCACCCGCACCCCCCTCACCCCAATCCCCCCTTCTCTCCCCTCCTCTCCCACCCCACCCCCCGACCCCGCCCCCCCCCCCCTCCCTACGCCGCCCCCCCCCCCCCCTCCTCTCCATCCCGCCGGCCCCCTCCCTCCCCCCCTCCTCCCAGCACCCCACGCCACGCCCGGCCTCCTCCCCTTCACCCCCACCCCCCCCCCTCCCCACCCTCCCCCCCCCCCCACCCCCCCCTCCCCCCCCCTTCCCCCGCCCCCTTCCCCCCCCCCCCGCGCCCACCCCCCCCGCCCTTCCCCTCGCGCTCCTCCCCTCTCCAGCCCCCTCCCACCTCCCACGCCCCCCCCCCCTCCACCGCTTCCCCCCTTCCTCCACCCTCTGTACTCCCCCTACCCTGCCCCCTCCCGATGGTCCTCCCCCTACCCCACCCGACGGCAGTTCACCCCCCTAATCGCACACTCCCGCCCACCCGCACCCCAACATCGCCCCTCCCCCCCCACCCACCTCCAACCGTGCCCACCTCCCCTAACCTCCGCCCCCCCGCCTCCTCCCCCCGCCACCCATACCCCTCCTCCTCCTCCCCCCCCCACCCACCACGGGCCCGCCCACGCCCTCACCCCCCCCCCCCCCCCCCCACCCGACCCTACCCACCGCCCCCCGCGCCCAGCCCCCCTCCCCCCCCCGCCCCCCCCCCCCCGCTCGCCTCTCCCCGCTACCACAACCCCCCCGACCACCCCCCCCCACACTCCTGCCCCCCTCGCCTATCTACTCCCCCCCCGCCCCCCCCCACCCCCGCTCCCATCCCACCCCCCCCGCCCACCTCGCCCCACTCCCCCGTCCCGCCCCCCTCCCCCGTCCCCCCCACCCTCCCACCTCCCCCCCCCGCACCACCCCTCCCTACCCCCCCTCTCACCACCCTCCCACCCGCCTCCCCCCCCCCCCCAGCCTCACCCCCGCCCCCCGCCCACCCCGCCATCCCCGCTCCCCCCCCCCCCCAACCCACCGCTCACCGCCACCCCCAGCCCCCCCTCCCCCACCCCGCACCCTCCCTCCGCCACCCGCCCTCCACCCCCCATCACCCCCCTTCCCTCCCCCCCTCCCCTCCCCTCCTCTCGCCCCCCTCCCTCCCGCCACCTCTATGCCCGCCCCCCCGCTCCTCCGCCTCCCCCGCCCTGCCTGCGACCCCCTCCCCCCCCACCGCCCTTCATCAGCTCCCAGCCCCCCCCCCGCCCTCCCCCCCTCCCCACCCCCGATCCCCCATTGCAGCCGCCCGCCCCACCCACACCCTTTGCCCCCACCCCCCCCGCTCCACCCCCCCCCTCCCCCACCTCACCAACACCTCACCTCCCCGTTCATCGCCCGCCACCCCCCAACCCTCCCCACCCCCCGCCCCCACCCCCCCCCCCTCCCTCGCCCCCCCCCCCGTACTCCCACCCGCCTCCACCCCCCCCGCCACTGGACCCCCCCCTCTCCACGCTCAGCCACGCCCGCCCCCTACCACCCCCCCCCTCCACCCGCCCCTTCGCCCAGCCCCCCTACCCCCCACCCCCCCCACCACCTTCCCCAGCCCCCCCACCCCGCTCCGTCCAGTACCCCTCATCCCCAACCCCCCCCAACCCGCGCCCCCTCCCCCCCCACCCCCTTCCTCCCCACCCCGCCATCCACACACCGCCCACCCCCTCCTCCCCAGGCCACCCCCTCCATGCCCCCCCCACCGGACTCTTCCCACGCCCCCCCCCCCTACCCAGCCCCGCACTGCTCCTCCTCCCTCACTCTCCCCCCTCGCCCCCCCCCCCACTCCCCCCCCCCGCCACCCCCCCCCCCCTCCCCCCCGCTGCCCCCTGCCACCGTCCCCCCACACCCCCTCCCCAACCTCCACGCCCCCCCCCCCCTCACCACACCCTCCCCCTCTTCGCCCCCCCACCTCCCCTCCCATCCCCCCCCCCCCCGCTCCTCCCGCCCCCCCTCCTCCCGCCCACCCGGCGCCCCCACCCCTCGCTCCCCCACCTGCGCTCCCGCCCCCGCCGCCCCCTCGCCCCACCCCTCCCCCCCCCCCCCCCAGCCCCTCCCCACCCCCCACCCCCCCTCCACACCTCCCTCCTCCCCCCCACGAGCCGGCCCCTCCCACCCCCCCCCCCCCCCCCCGACCCCCCCCCCCCCCTCCGAGACCCCCTCGCCACCGCCCCCCCCCCCCCGGTGGTGTTAGGATGTTTTTGTATATTTCACACCAAACCACAAACTAACGCCGAAAGCACACGACACACCCCACCCCCGCATCCAGACCCCCCCCCACATCTCCCCCCGTACGCCCCGCCCGCCAACCACCCACACCACCCCGTAACCCCTCCACCTGCCCCCCCCCTCACTCCACCACCCGGCCCACCGACGACCCACTCCTTACACCCCCGACTCCCGCCCCTCTCCACGCCTCCCCCCCGGCACAAACGGCCAACACCTCCGCACCAGCCTCACCCCCCCCCTTCCGCCCCCACAATAGCCACTCCCCCATTCAACCAACAACCCCCACCCACCCCCCGCCCCACCCACCCTCCCTCACCAACCCCCCCCCCCACCCCCCCCCCACCCCCCCGCCGCGCCACGCGCCCCGCCCCACCTCCCCACGCCTCGCCACCCACCCCGCCACCCCTCGCCTCCCTCCCCCAACCCCGCCCTCTACCTCACCCTCCACCCACCTACCCCCGCGCCCCCAATACCAACCTACCCCCCCGCCTGGCCCCCGCACGCCACCACCCCCCACCCCACCGCCCCCTCCCGCCCCCTCTCCCCCCCCACCGCGCCTGCCCCCCACTCCCCTTCCAGCTCGCACTGCCCCCCTGCGCCCCCGCCTCGCCCCCCTCCCGCCTCCCCCCTTCCCTCCAACGCTCCAGCCCCCCCTCCCTCCCCCCCCCCAGCGCATCTCCCCCCCCCCTAGCCCCCGTGCCCCCAAACCCCCCTCCCCCCCCACCTCCCTCCGCCCCCCCCCGCCCCGCCCCACCCCCCCAATCCCTGCCCCCCCCCGCCCCCCCCCGCCCCCCCCTCACTACCCGGCCGCGCTCCCCCGTCCAACCTCCCCACGCCCCCCCCCCCGCCCCTCCTTACGCGGCATCCGCCGCCACCCACCCCACCCGCCCCCTCTCGCCCCCCCCCGCACCGGCACGCCCCGCCCGCCACGAAACATCCCCCCGCCCCCTCTCCCCCTGCCCCACCCCACCCCAACCACCCAACCCCACGCCCCCCCCACACTCCCACCCCCCGCTCCGTCGCCCCCTCCCCCTTAACCGCTCCACCCCCCAATACCCCACCCTCCCCCCCCACGCCCAACCCCGCCCCCCCCACACCACCTCCCCCCCGCCCCCCACCTCCGCCCTCCCTCTTCCAACTGCCCCATCCTCGCGACCCCCCCCCTCGTCCGAGGCGCCCTCCCCCCCCTCGCCCCCCGCCCCCCTCCCCCTTCCGCTCCCTCCCCCCGCCCCCCCCCCTCTCGCCCCCCCGCCCCCTACCCCCCCCCCCCCCCCCACAACCACCCCCCCCCCACCCCCCCCTCCGCCCCGCCCCGACCTACCCCCCCGCTCCACTCCCCACCCCCCCGGACGGAACACACTGTGTCTCGCTCACCCCCCCGGCGCCGTCCCCGCCCCCCCCCCCCCACTCTACCTCAGTCACCGTGCTCACCGCGCTCACCCGCTAGCATTCCTCCCTTGCTCCCCCCCCCCCACCCCCCTCATCCCGCCTCCCACGTCACCCTCCCCCCACCCACCCCCCCCCCCACCGCCCCTCCTCACCCTCCCCCCCCCCAATCCCCCCCCCACCCGCCTTCCCCCGTCACCACCCCGCCCACCCGCCCCGGCGCCCTCCACCCCCTTCCACACCACTCCTCCTCCGCACCTTCCCTCCACCACTCCCCCCCGCTCCCCTAACCCCCCCCCCCCACTCGGCCCCCCCACTCCACCCCCGCCCCCGCTCCCGCGCCGCTCCCCCCCAGCGTACCGTACCCCGCTCCCCCATTCACCCCGCACACTTCTCTCCGCACTCCCTACCCTTTCCGCAACGCCCTCCGCTCTCCGCCCTCGCGCTCCCCCCTAGCCCACTCCCCTCCCACCTCCCTCGCCCCCCATCACCCCCCGTACCCCCCCCCTGCCCCGCCGCCCCCCTCCCCCCACCCGCTCGTCCCCTCCCGCCCCCTCCCCCCGCGCCACACCTCGCCCATCCCCAACCCACCAACCCCGCCCCGACTCGCCCCAACCCCTCCTCCTCCCCCTTCCCCCGCCCCCCCGCCCCTCCCCACCCCCCCCCACCCCCAGCACCCGTCCAGCCCCCCCTGCCTCTCCCCACCCTACACTCTCTCCTGCCCCCCTACTCGTCACCACCCCCCCCCCCGCCCACACCCGCCCCCACCTCCCCCCCCGCCCTACCCCCCTCCCCCCCCCCGCCGCCCCCCGTCCCCCTCCACCCTCCCCCCCCTGCCTGCCACGCCACCCCCCCTCCCCCCCCCCCTCTCCCCCCCTCCTCCCCCCACCCCCGCCGCCCCCCCCCCGCCCCGGCCGTGCGCCCGCTCCCTGCGACCTCCGCCCCGCTCCCCCCCCCCCCCCTCACCCCCCCCCCGCCCCACACACCCGTCCCGCCCCCCCTTCCCCCCCCCCCCCCCCCCCCCACCGCGCGCCCGCTCCCCACGCTCCGCCGCTTCCCCCCCACGCCCCGCCTTGCCCCCCACCCTGCCACCTCCCCCCCGGTTTTCCCCCCCCCCCCACGAACCACCCGTCACCCGCGCGCCGCCCCTTCCCTGTCTGCACCGCCCCCCCCTCCCCCCAACGACCGCATGCATCGCGCCCCGACCCCCCCCCTCCCACTCCACCACCTCCCCCCTCCCTCCCCCACCCTCGCCACGCCCATCCCGCCCCCTCCCCGCAACCACTCCCCCCCCCGGCCCCCCTCGCACCCTCTCCCTCCCCCCCTGCACCCCCCACCGTAGCCCCCCCTCGCTCCCCCCCCCCCCCCTTCCCCCCCCCCTTCCCCCCTCCGCCCCTTCCGTCCCCCGCCCACCATTCCCCGCACCGCCCTCCCCCCCCCCCCCCCGTCCCTTCTCACCCCCCCCCGCCCCTCCGCCACACCTCCCCCGACCGGCTCCCCACGCACCGCACCCTCACGCCCCCTCCCCCCGCCCGTCTCCCCCGACCCCCCCCTCTCCCTCCCCCACCCACACCCAGCCGCCCCACCCCCCACGCCTCCCCCCCCCCTCCCACCCCCTTCCCGCGCACCCCCCCCCTCCCCCCCCCCCTGCACCCCCGCCCCCACCCCGCCTCCACGCCCCCCCCCCCCCCCCCGTCCCCCTCTTCCCCCGACCCGTACACGCCGACCCCTTACCGCCCTCTCCCCTTCCACCACCCCCCCCCGACCGGGCCACCCCCCTCAGGCCCCCCCTCACCCACACCGGCTCCCCCCCGCCCGACACCATAGCTCCACCCCCTCCCCCCCCGACTCCCCCCCTTCCCTCCCCCACCTGCCCACACCCCCCCCCCGTCCCGCCCCGCACTCCACCCCCCACCGCCCCCCCACCGCCCCTCTCCCCCCCCAACCCCCCAACCCCACCCCCCCCGCGCCCACGCGCCCCGCCCCCCCCCCCCGGCCCCCGTCGCCCCTTCCGCCCCCCCCCCCCCCACACCACCCTCCCATCACCCGGGCCCCCCCCCCCCCTGCCCACCGCGGCCCCCCCGCCTCCCCACCCCCAGTCCCCCACTCGACCACCCGCGGTCACCTCACCCCCCCCCCTCACCCCCCCCTCCACAGCCTCACAAACTTAAATTCACTTTAGCATTCATAACAGTGGTGCAGCACTAACATGTAAACATGCATGGTATTGCAGCTAAAGTTAAGACCTGTAATAAATATTGTATCAATGCGATCTTATTACCTTTTTTTATTTTTTCACAGGTTTTTTTTGTGGTCATGTTTACATCATTGGTATATAATGTAAAATTTAGAATAATATGTTATAAATATTTGTTTTTATTTAAGGGAATTAAATGGGACATTTATATACTGTGCCAATGGCTAATAATTATCTTGTTTCATGTCTTATTTCTTTTACACAGGCTTTAACCAGACGTGCTGCTGCATTCACCGTTGATGTTCGCGAAAGATGCTGCATTTCTAGGGTAAAGTATCTATCTCTTTTTATATTATTCTTTGTCTGAGGCACATCCTCATGAAGAGGTACAGAGCTTTGAATGTTGGCGGGGAATTTGCATAGAGTGCACCATAAACACCATGTTTTATGGCAACAAAATTAATATAGAGCACCAGTGTCTGCGTACATTGGTGTATGAATGAGAGCGTGAATGGGTGACTGGTTCTTTACTGTAAAAGCGCTTTGTGCCTGATAAAGGTAGAAAAGCGCTATACAAGTTGAGTCCAACTACCATGGGGCTATTTCCATTTATTTTTCATAGATAACATTTTTTTTTTATCGTGTTGCTTTTCCGGCACGTTTTTGTCATGTCATCATCCTTGATTTTACGCTTTTTTTCAAGAAGCTTTTAGATATGGATAATGCCAAATTGGACAAAATAAGGTCTGTTCAGTTTGTGGTTAAGAGATAAAAAATTATAGCCTATTTTGGAGCCATTTTTTTTATGTTTTTGGTCAATTGCTAAAGGGGGTTGTGCCAGAAAAATAGAAATACTTTTATAGTGGTACAAATTGTATTTAATTTTGAATAAAACTGTATATGTAATTGTGAAATACTAATACTACTACTACTACTAATACTAATACTAATAATAATAATATTTTTTTTTGTTTCTTATTCCAGGGGAATGTCAACAACATAGTGGCTGAAGTGCAACAGTTTCAATTTGCCCTTTTGGAAAACCTGCGAGAGAGAGTGAGGAATGTTTTTGAAAGACATGGACATATGGACAACATAGAGCAGCTTCGTGATGAGACAATGGCAACAATTGTTGACTTCCCAGATCCTTTCGCCTCCTTGACCACGAGTTACATGCAGGACCAAACTATTAAAGAACTCTTTCATCCAGTTGAACCTGAAGAGGTCATCATCTCACAAAAGCTCTGTAGAGTTAAGAGAGGTGGAACAAGGGTACTTAAAACTAGGAACATTTCTTTTTATTATGTGCCTCTCATCAAAAGTTTGGAACAATTTCTGTGTAACCCGAGAATATTCAATATGATTCATCACCCAACAAATTGTAGCAAAGATGGCTTTCTTAAAGACATTGTTAATGGGAGCCTTTTCAAAACTCATCCTTTATTTTCTGTTAAGCGCACAGCATTACAATTAATTTTATATTCAGATGAAATTGAAATCTGCAATCCTCTTGGTGCACATGCTTCTGTTAACAAACTACTGATGTTCTATTACTCATTAGGAAACATTGAGCCTAAATTTAGGTCAAAGCTTCCAGCCATAAGACTTCTCGCAATTGCGAAAGCTAAGGATATTTCAGAGGCTGGTGTTGATGTTATTTTGGAGCGAATTGAAAAGGATTTAAAGAAGCTTTACAGTGGTACAAAAGTCAAAACTGGAAGCACGGAAACAAATATCTTTGGTGCTGTAATATCAGTATGTGGGGATACCCTTGCTCAGCATGATCTAGCTGGGTTTAAGTCTGGGGTTGGTTTTGCTTTTAGCAAGTGCAGGCATTGTGAGTGTGACTTTAACAGCATGCAAAGCAACTTTGATGAGAATTATTTTACCCCAAGATCATTACGAAATCATATCAGACAGTGTGAAGAAATGGAGAGGGCCAGTACAGAATTTCTTAAAAAATCCCTTATGACTACTTATGGCCTTAATAGAAGGAGCAAACTTGTCGATTTCCCAGCTTTTGATTTAATCCGGCAAACCCCACAGGATATAATGCATGTGTTACTTGAGGGTGTGGTGCCCTATGAAATGAAATGCGTGTTAAAGGCTCTCATTTTGTCTGGAGACACTGAATTGGACTCTATAAACGCAGGTATACAAGGCTTTTCTTATTCACCGGTTGATGTACGCGACAAACCATGCCCAATCACTGTAAATACTTTATCCTCAAATGATAACAAACTTAAACAGTCTTCAGGGCAGATGTTGGTGTTCATGAAAATATTTCCATTTATTGTAAACGGCATCAGTACTAATGTATATGTCCAGTTTATAATAGGATTACTTGAAATATCTCAAATCATATTTTCCCCAGTTATAGCCATTGAAACATTGGAAAAACTCAGGAGGATGATTGAACAGCACCTAAAAGAGTTTACTAATCTTTTCCCTGCCAACAACATAACTCCCAAACAGCATTATATGATACATTTTCCTTCACAAATAGAGGCCCTGGGTCCCCTGAGAAGGCATATGTGTATGAGGTTTGAATCCAAACACAGATTTTTTAAAAAGTGGTCTTCAAAATTGAACTATAAAAATATTTGCAAATCTCTTGTCCAGCACAATCAAATTGTTGAAAGCACGCAAAATGAAAAAAATAATATTTTTGCCCATGAGAAAGATCTAGGCCCTGTGGGAGAAGTGTCAAATATCCAATATGTTGAGTCAAAGCTCAGAGAGTTTCTAAATATTGTCGATGTCCAGCATGTAATTTCTGTCAAGTGGGTTACGTTAAATGGTAACACTTACACAACTGGAAAAAGCTTGATTATTACAGACACTGATAATGGATTGCCTATTTTTGGACTGATTAATAATATTTTTATTGTTGATTCGGTTTTATTTTGTTGTGAATATCAAGTTCATGAAACACTAGATTTTAATAGAAATTTGCTATCATATGAAATTACTGTACCAAATGTTGCCATAGCCACAGAATTTATTAATTTGGAGAAACTGAGGGATTACACTGCATATCAAGCTGTTATGCTCAATACCAAGACTTATGTTCCAAGGAAATATGATCTTACTGATGTATTGTTGGAAAATTAAAATGTTTAATAAACATACTGTAAAAATTGAGTTATTGACCCTTGTTTAAATGTATATTGCTATTCTGTGCAGGTTTTTATTTATTTTTGGTAATAGCATTGAAGGCTTGCTTGGGTCTAGAGTAGACGCAACACTGGGTAGCTCGGTTGGCCTATTCATTGCGTAAATACAAATGCCCATTATAATGACAACAAATGTGCATGTGATGTCATATCAACAGCATGGCAGATTGCATTCTATTACTGCAACAGCATAACAACCAAATGGTAAATCTGCAATGTTACGAAAGTAATAGGCTGACTTGCTGCTAATTTGGCTCCTGTTGGCGCAATGGAATGCTATCTGCAATGCTGTTGCTAGAAAATCACACAAAATCTTAAAACAAGAAAAAATCTCTTACTGTTCACTGGTTTTGGCATCTGCATGCATGATATAACTTGATTTTGTATAAAATCTACTTAAAATAAGATATAATATCTATGAAAGATTGCTCTGGAAAGAATAACTTAAAACAAGTCAAACTATCTTAATAAGAACGGGTCTTAATAAGTGAAAACATCTAGAATCTAAACTTCTAAGATTAATATTCGTAATTTAAGTCAGTTTCACTTGGTTAGGAAATTCATTTTTGTAGTGTATGCTGTATGTGTGTAAATACGTTTTGCTATGTTACTTGGAAAGAAGCATACATGTCTGATGAAGAATTACGGACAATGGGCCTCATGTATGAAACTTGCGTACGGCCAAATCAGGGTGTAAATGATGCGTACCCAAAATATTTACACTTTTCCACATTTATCAATCTGGACGTGAGCGTATCATACGCACAGAATTTACACCAAGTCAATAGGTGGTGTAAATGTGTACGCTCATTTCAACCTTCATTACAACACGTCTACAATCAGTGCGTAATGGCTTTGGTTGGCGTCCAAGCAAAGACGCGCACCACCGTGGAGCGCTGCGCGGGTCTGATCAGGCTCTGGGACATGTAGGGGTTTCGCTCTGGTACCTCCCGGTACAAGTGTGCCACATGGTCCTGGCTCGGTTCTCCACAACAGGCACAGGACCACAGTGTGCCACTGGTGGAGCAGCCCATGGATGAGAGACCATGGCCAGCACCGCCTTCGGCCTGTACAGCTCATACAGGCTCTCATTCAACCATTTTAAAAAAATAATCACATACATAATTTGAAGATAATTTTTTCTTAATATTTTATTTTGGATGCTTTGGTCTGGCGGTCCTCCCCCTGGGCTTCTAAGCACTTCTTCTAGGGCTGCGCTAAACGCCTTTTGTTATTTTAAGGTCGCTCCCTTTTTTTTCACTTGTAGCATAAATTAATGAATTCTTACTATTGGACCAATACATCAACTGTTTGATATAATATAGCGTATTTTTCTTCGAACATGAATAAACTCACCTCTTCAGAAGTGCGTGTTGCAGGCCCTACTGTTTACAGATGCTGTCATTTCTTTTCACATATAGTTTTTTGAGCCCCTTGATGCCACTTTTGAGAATTCCAAATAGTAAGACTTTATTCTTTTTCCCACTTCGTTCATAATGGTCTCAATCTCCTGCTCCGTGAAGTTATTTTTCCTTAGCCGTTCACTAACCAGACCCTGCGCAGTATACGTAATTACTCATATGTTTTGCCTCATTCACCTCTGGCAAAGCAATGTGGGTTTTCCTTAGTTTTGTGCATAAAGCCCCATAAATGCAATTGATCTTGCTCAAAACTGCTCATCCACTGCCCTGTTCTCCGCATATAGCAGAGATAGGATGCAACGCGCATGTGGGAACTGGCTCATTCATTCATTCATTTATTATTTATTTATTTACTTCTAAATTTCAGGAGAGATGAGTGCTGCAGTGGGTCTAGACCAGGGGTGCTCCCACTTTTTCAGCATGCGAGCTACTTATAAAATGATCAAGTCAAAATGATCTACCTACTCTAAAAATGCAAAACATATATATATTTCTTAATATATTGAGGATTCTTTATATCTACAATGTATGTTGATGTACATGCAAAACCGCATGATTTATGAAATAATTTGCATTTAAGCACCGCCTCTGGCGGTCATCCAGGATTCATAGAACCAAAGTTACATTCGTAACTTTCGTTCTGTAGCGGCACTGTCATAGTAGAAACTCAGGGTGAAGACGTGTTATTATAGATCCATGGTGAAGACATATGTTTACAAGCATTGACCCCAGTCCTCAGCCCTGGTTTGATCCTGGTTTAGCTCCTGTTTTGGTTGTTTTCGAGCGTGTGTGATCACTTTGCTGCTCTCTGATGTGGAGCGAGGATCGCTGCTGTGAACCGCTGTTAAGGCAGTATGATCCATGCTTTAGTGATCAGAGGTCGCACGTTTTGTTTGTTGTTGTTGTTGTTTCGGGGGCAAACTGTGCCGTGCAAAAACGCAAAACTCCGGTTATCTCTGTCCACACGCAAATGCATAAACGGATTAAAAAAATATATATATGTAATGCGATCTTCCAATACTACCTTTGCGATCGACTGGTAGATCGCGATCGACGTATTGAGCACCCCTGGTCTAGACACTATGGGAAAAACGCGTATATATAATACAGCGTATATATGTATATTTTTTAAATTTGAATAATCTCAGAAGTGTGTGT